GTCAAGGGTTTGATGGAGTATGATTGTCAGTAAAATGACTTGGAATAATCATGAAATACATTTTAAAATGTTTTAACTACATTTTGAACAAGATGCTGCAACAGGATGAACAGACTTTGATCTCCCTATTCCGGGGTTTCTCCACCTCTCTGTGATGCAAGAAAACTCTTCACTGTGCTGGAGCTCAAGTATGAGTAGGGGTGCAGTTGCAAATGGCAGCATAGTTGGTCTTTCCCCACCAGGGACCAGTAGTGCCTCCCCTCTCCTGAGATGTGACAATCAAATATGTCCCCAAACATTGCTAATTGTTCCCTGGAGAGGCAAGATCATCCCAGTTGAGAAACATTATCCTGTGCCAAGGTAAATAGTCACCAAAAAAGGTAATGTTGGTTCCTAGGTTCTGCTCAGATCTGTACAGTGGTTGGAAAATCTGCAAAGTTGAATTTTGAGGATGAAGGCACTTAGCTAATAGGCTTAGTGTCTACACCAAGATAACATTAACATTCATATGTGTTCTGTTCTACCACTGACAGGTAATTATAATTCTTTTTTTAAAGATTTATTTTTTATTTATATAAGAACTGGGGTACAGGCTAGAGGTGTGGGAGGGTGAGAGGATTCCCCAGAAACAGAGCGGGGAGCAGAACAGGCAGACGGACCGAAGACACTGCTGAGGGGAGCAGCAGGTGAGGCAGGAGAGGTCTGCCACGCCATGTGGGATTTTTCCCTGGCCGGCTGGGAATCGAACCTGCACTGCAGAGGCTGCAGACAGCTTCACAGCATGGTGCTCAACCCGCTGCGCCACCAGGGAGGCCCCAGGTAATTATAATTCTTATAACCATTTCTTGCAGGATATCTACAGAGCCTCTACTGCCTTTAGACCTGGGAAATCCTGGGTGACATAGTCATGAAATAGGCCAGAACATTGTCTGGCTACACAGAGCAACCATTTCTTAAGAGCAAAATGGTGACTCCTTCAGAGGTTTGTGAACATGGTAGCCCTTAGTTTTGTCCTTTTTGAAAATAGCTCTGGACTCTTGGTGACTCTTATAATGAGTGTCTTTGTCACTTCCACTTGCTATGACAAAAAACCTAGATGTGTAGCTTATAGACAACAGACAATTATTTTTCTTCTGGGATCACTCCATGTGCTCCCATCCTGGGAAGTACAGCCCGCCTCCTAGTGAACATTGATGTCACAGAACTCTGTGCCTTGAGAGTACAGACCACTCCTAACTACATCTCTTCAGTCTCACCACACTTACCATCCATCTTTCTTAATCATGACTTTCATTATTTGCTTCACAATTGGGGAAAAAATTCTCTCTCGTGGCTGATATGCATAATCACACTTAGTGATTCACTAATTCCATATCTGAAAATTTGCCCAGCTGCTAAAATTTATTTGTAACCCCAAAGTCTATACTCATGTACTTTTGTGATTATTCCTGGACATGTTCAGAGAAGTAAAAAAATTGAGGTACCAAACTTACACCTTCTCAGTTGAGAGGGAGCAAGGTGACCCTCTGCCTTCCTGTTTCAGCTCTCACACTGTAAGCAAGTATTCTTTTGGTAGTATATTTAGTGCAATGTTTGTTGCACTTGTGATCTTTTTCTTGATGATTTTACTGTTTAAGACAGTCCCCAAGAATATTGATTCTGTCTAGGATTCTAAAGTACAAGAAGGCTATGATGTACCTTCTTGGAGATAATATGTGTATTAGATAAGCTTTGTTTAGGTTACAGTGCTGTGGACCATGAGTTAACATTATTGAACCAACAATAAATATTAAATAAGTGTCTTTGAACAGAAACACACATTGAGGGCCTCCCCCCGGTTGAGCGCAGTGCAGCACTGTGAAGCTGTCTGCAGCCTTTGTAGCGCTCAGTTTCGATTCCCGGCCAGCCAGGGAGATTCCCACATGGTGTGGCAGACCTCTCCTGTCTTGCCCGCTGCTCCCCTCAGCAGTGTATTTCGGTCATCTGCCTATTCTGCTCCCCACTCTGTCTCTGGTGAATCCTCTCACCCTCCCACACCTCTGGCCTATACCCCAGCTCTTGTATAAAAATAAATCTTAAAAAAAAAAAAGAAAAGAAAAGAAACACACATCGAGAAAGATTGTGTATTATGTATGGACTGATTGATAAAAATGTTGTGAGCAGAGGCTTGCAGGAACCGAATCCTATAATTTCTCCTATGAGAAATAGGTCAGGATTTGCTAATTTAGTGTTCACAGCGACTATGTTATAACACATAGCCACTGTAAATAACAAGAAGTAATTATGTATTTATGGGCACTCATTTAAAAGATATACAATAATATTGACTGCTACAAGAGAGCAAAAATAGGCAGATTGGAGACAAGGCTGAAAGGAGGCTTTACTACAATACCTTTTTTCTTTTGTGCCATACCACTGTACCATCAAAATTTTAATTTATATTTAAAAATGAATAGTAAAATGAGAAACTGCATGGCTTATTCAGGTGTCTCTTCAATTTTAGGGTAAGAAAGCAACTCCTACTAAATATCCAATCTACCAAATGACACCCTGGTCTCCCAGGCTCCCCATCCAAGCTATTCTCATGCACTAGCTTTGCTTCTCACCACCCACATTTGAACAATTCAGGTCATCCGTCTGGTCTACTCATAGCTCCTGCAAGTTGCTCAGTACTTCAGTGACTTTGCTGTTGCTTACTCCACATTTCGCAAAAGAAACTTCTCTCCCCTCTACCTAGCAACATTCTGCTTTTCCTTCAAAGACTTTGAAGATTTTCCTAACACCATACTCAAAAGGATCATTTCCTTTTTCCTTGTTGGAACCTTGTAGGTAACTGACTGTTTGCCCCCTGATTTTGTTGGTTGTTTTTAAGTTTTGAGTCTGCTCAAATCCATTGCAAGTTCTTACGGATGGGATTTTAGGTCTTATTTACCTTTGATCATTTTCAGTGCCTTTCATGTAATAAAACCTATTGATTGATTGTTCATTATCATTCAGTACCAAAAAATACTTTCATTGAAGTTGTTATTTTAAGTAGATTCCTATTCAATTATGTAAAAGAGAAGCAACCTGTGTGACTATGTTTTAGGAGTAGCATGGGGATTTTGTTTAGCTGCTTGAGGAAAACATGCTGTGCGAGACATACTCTGTGATTGTTCCAGCCTTGAGGAGGAAATTAAGAAACTTAATTTTTATCTCAAACAAGTCACAAAATGGGAAGGGATCCTAGTAAAGTTTTGTTGAGTTTCTACTGGGCTGGGCACTGTCCTTGGAAACATATAGCCTCATTTTATTTTCAAAAGCCTGTCCAGTAACTATAATGAAGTCTATTTCAGAGATGAATAAGCAGAAACTTAATAATCTAAGATTATCCTGCTGAAAAACTGCAGAATTGTGGTCCAAACTCAGGTCTGAAAGCCCATCATGTTGGGTCACTCCCACACAATACAATTAAACATTTCGAACAAATATGAGTGAAAGAATTCTTTCTCTGCTATATATTCACAAGACTGTGCCTCTGGGGGAAACACAAGGCAAGAGTGTTTTGAGGTGGTCCTGAGAAAGCATTGTACAACTCTGATATATGCTCAAGTAGGGAAATAGAATGAGGGAATTTGCACTCCTTCAAAGCACTGGTACCTTCCAGCAGTGACTCTGAGTACTGACTGAGCATCAGAGTCACCTGGCTATCTTTAAAAAATTAATTTTGTCTAAGGTAAAACTTTTTAAAAGATCTTCAGATAAGTGCTTCCCTGGTGATCTAGGGGTTAAGTATAAGCCACAGCCCAAGTTTGATCCCCAGCCAGGGAGCTAACCCACATGGCATAGGAGAGCTCATCTGTCTTGCCCACTGTTCCCCTTAAGAGTGTATTTCAGTAGATCTGCCTGTTCTGCTCCCCACTGTGCCTCTGGTGAATCCTCTCACCCCCACCCCCACACCTCTGACCTACACCCCAGTTCTTCTACACATAAATAAATAATTTTTTTCTTAAAAAAAAATCATCAGATAATTCTGTTGTGCACCAGGGCTGAGAACTACTGATATGGAACAGGAGAGGTACAAGGATGAGTAGTTTCTCCAGTTTAGTGATTTCAGAGTCTGGTCCCCAGATCAGCAGCATTTGCATCACCTGGGAACATATTAGAAATGCACATTCATGGGCTCTACTCCAGACTCACTGAATCAGAAACTCTAGTGATAGGACCCAGGAATAATTCCAACACTGATATTTGATAGTGTGTGAGAACCATTGCTTGAATTCACTGAAAAGGAAGTACAAATAGTCAACAATATATGAAAAAATTATTCAACCAAATATTTAGGCAACTACAAATGAAAATTTTCGAGGAGATATACTATTTATCTCTCAAATTGGTAAAAAATTGAAAGATTCATAATATCTCACATGGCAGTAGGAGACAGGAAATAGACAGTCTCATGTTTAATGGATAACTGAAACAATACATCTTTAAAGGGAATTTGGCAGTTGAATTTAAAATTGAATTTATGCAATTCTGATGACCAAACAATCTTCCCTCTCAACCTCTCTGATGGAGAAATACTGTATCAACACATAAACGTACACATACAGAGATATTCATGAGGATGCTGTCTGCAATGTGTGAAAACTAGAAACAACCCAAATGCTCATAATGGCTAAGGACTGGGCACTTCCTGTGGAGTATTATGCAGCATGTAAAAAGGATGAGGTAGCTCTTTCCATATACACTTATGTAGAACTATCCCTGAGATATCATGACAATTTGCAAAACAATGTATAAAATACGGTGCCACTAAAGTTTAAGAAAAACACCCACCCAAATGCTGTTAATGCATAATTATGAAAATGAATAGAAAAATATAACATTATTACTTCTGTCAGAGGCAAGAATACAGGGAACAGCTCTAGAAAGAAAGTGTGAAAGATACATTAGACTTATCTATAATTTTTCATTTCTTTTTAACCTTACTTTTAACTTTATTGTTGACACTATTACAGACAGAATGACCGCAACCATATCAACAAACCAAAACCTTGTGCACAGAAACAAGATGAAGAAAATGTGTCAAGAGGTTAACAGTAGTCTTTGGATGATGAAAATGGGGTGAGTTTCTCATTTCCATTTCTGCTATAATTTCTAAAATTTCTTATTAGACTTACGTATTCAAGTATTTCTTGAACAATGAAGACTACTATTTGAGAGTGAACAAATATCCATGGAAATAGCATACTAATTCAATGGTTCTTATTCCTTTTCTATCATGACCTGAGAATATGATGGACATTTTCACCAAAAAAATTCCACAAAGGCATGAACTTTTTGTTCAATTTGAGAGGATTTGTAGATACCCAGGGCCTTAGACCCCTTGGGGTTTCCAGATCCCAGGTTGAGTGTTTCCAGCCTGCATGACCTCAGAGGACCCTAAATAGCTTTGCTTTTCAACCCTGGGCTCCATGACCTCTTCTTCATCATATGTGTCCCAGAGGAGTCATGAAGTCTGACAGCTATTTTTACAAATGTCAGCAGCTCTTCTCTGGCAGATTGAATTTCCCCAGAAGGTAGATTTTCGCTGACATCTTAATACTTGGAAAGGAGCGGATGATCCTTGAGGAGTGAGTGAATATAGCACATGGTTTGCAAGCTGCAAACAGAAACTGATCTATGTCAAGGAAGCCTCAAGTGTTATGCATTTGTTTTTAGATATCATCAGGTTCTTTTTTTAAGTTCTGCAGTGTCATTCTCCCTTCACATGCACAAAGACCCTTTTCAGTGTTTTCCAGTTGACTGTGAAAATAGATTTCTTTTTTGCTTTTATGTTTTTAAGAGAGAATAAAAAATGAGTATCTTTTAATTCCCAAAATTTTTAAATCTCTTTTCATTCTGCTATTCTGAATGGAAATAGTCCCATTTTTTAGTCTAAACTGTCTTAAATGGCAAAGTCAGTACTCATAAAAGTGAAGTTCCTTAGTAACCTACTTCTTATTAAGTCCTGAGCTGCCAATGGATTTATGGTCCTTATGGAAGAGTCAGATCTTAACCGAGCTGTGAATGTTTTTGCATGAAATGCCTTCCTCACAGATTGCCTGGAAAGCCTCTTTGACCCTCTCTCTGTACCCACCCCAGCTACCCATTGCAATGCATACCAGGTTGAGTTTTGGAAAATTACTACGAATGTGTTTATATAGCCTTTCTCCAGCTTCTCATTGAATAACTTGCATTTTAAGTAGGAGATGAACAGTCTAAATATGAGTATGATACTTTCTGAAAAATGTGGACAGTTGTTCTTTGAAAACAATGACAACAGCAGCAGCAACGGTAACAGTGGTGAGGATGCCACTGATAGTCCTGAGTCCTTTCTCCTCTCGGAGGATAATTTCTGCAGCTGGCATTTTGCTTCCATGTGGGTCCAGGCACGTTTTTAACAACTCCCTCCTGCTTCTGAGTCCTCTTTGATCACGACTTTATGACCCACCATCATATGACCTTTGACATATTTTATATTTTCTTTATTCTTCATGATCCAAATTCTAATCTCAATTTTTTGTATAGCATTTGCCATTCAACCCAGCTGACCATATTCAGTCTCTATGAATGTTTATAAAGCTTTCTTTCTTTCACTGACAAGGTAACTTCTCTGTGGAATGTTGTAGCTACTCTCAACAAATGTGTGTTAAGCCCTAACTATGTATTAGATACTTGTCATGTTCTGGGGATACTTACAAGTTTTTGTTTCCATGGAACTTATATTCTAATGTGTAAATCAGAATATGCAAGTGCAATGATAAATGCAACAATTTCAAACAATTAAGATGACATGATGAAGTGATGGGTAACATTGGATAATATGTTCAGAGAAGGTTTCTGTGAAGAGAAAACATTTGAATTGAAATTTGTGTAATATATGTTACTTGTCATGCAAAATTCAGAGAAATTTTAAAATTGTATGCAAAATTGTCATGCAAAATTCAGAGAAAAAGCATTAGGAAGAAGGTAGAACAAGTACACAGGCCTAGATTCAGGAAGGAACTAGCATGTGGCTGATAAAGGATTTTTAAAAAGTGGCTATATTTCCGCTAGAGCATCTAGTACATAATAAAGCATCAGCTCATAGACATTTCTATGAGGGTAGATTCCATGCCTATATAGCTTGCCATAACTATATAGTAACTGGTATATATAAGACAATTGGTTTAATAATGGATGCTTGCTGAGTAACTGAATGACTTCTGCAGAGCCAGAATGGACAAAAGAATGTTTCCAGTTCCTAAATGATTTTTTTTTCATGCTAACACAATTCCCTTCCACTCTGTCTCCATGGTTTTGTGTCACCATTTATTTGATGAAATAAGAATGCGTACTTACTTTCCTTTTGGAAGAACTATAGTTGAAACTATGGACCTACTTCAGCTTTCAATGGAAATATAAGAAGTATATACTCTAAACATCTTTAAAATTGCCAAGCGTAGTTTCTTACTTATAAATGTTATAATTCTTTCTAGTATTATCATCAAATAGTAGACATGGTGGCCACCTTATTCAACTAGAAAGTAGATGAAGCATTGTAATCCTCTTCTTCCAAAGAACCAAGACATACAGTTCACCCCAGAGATGGAGTGAATTTTTTCCTAACAAAATAGTAGATGTTTTAGGAATCAGATTTCCTAAAAGAATTCTTAGCTATCACACACCTATTTTCAAACCCATTCTGCTGCTATTACCTCTACTGACAGTAGACAGACCCAAATACATGTGTCAAGAACATCCATATACTAACAATTTTCCACGTGATTCATGAGCCAAACTAAATTCATAGCTAACCTTGGATAGCAACAGGTAACCTGGACTATTTCTTAGCATAGAGCATAGTTGTTTTCACCATTCCATGTGAAATATCATGTCCCACAATGACCTGGTATAGTAGCCAGAGTTTAATATTATGTGTATAATATTATGTGTATAACTGAAGAGGGTGGGAAGAAGATATAGTAAATGAAATGTCAGGATGCATGGCTCCTGACTTTATTTTCTTTTACCACAATTGTTATCTGATAGAGAGATTCCTGGGATGCAGTTTGAGTTTCAACAGACATATGTTAGTGCTAGACCTAATTATTTGATACACTCTTTTGTTAATTGAATTGGAGGCCAGTTTGGCTGAATTCTCTCATCAATTTCCAACTGCATAAGTCACATCTTCAGAGCATTGTCTAGTCTCTAACATTAGAGAGCCTTTTATCTCCTAGGACCCACAGTTGAAATGGCTTCTAGGTCATGCAGCAAGTATGTCCTGACATAAGCATACTCAGTGGCTTGCTGGTTGATTTAGAGCCCAGTTTGAAATGAAATGGAAAGATTACCTCAGGATATACCTAACAAAGGAAGTGAAAAAAACCTGTACAACAAAAACTATAAGGCAACAAAACCATAAGACATTGTTTAAAAAAAAAAGAAGAAGAAACAAAGAAATGGGAATATTTTCCTTGCTCATGTATTAGAGAAATTAACATTGTCAAAATGGCTATTTTAACAAAAACAACATGCATACCGAATGCAATCCTTATCAGAGTTTCAATGGATTTTTTTTAAGTAGAGCAAATATTAAGCAAGTATTACTGTAATTTCTATGGGACCTCACAAAGATTCTGAATAACCAAAACAATTGTAACATAAATAAGAACAGAAGCATCACATTTCTAGGCTATAAACTATACTACAAAGCTATATTAATCAAAACATTATGGTGTTAGAATAAAAGACAAAGATCTATGCAATAGAGTACATAGAAGTAAACATAGACAAAGCAGTCTACAGCATTGGCTTCAGGGGTAGCTTTGGAGACTTGCCGCTAATGGCAAGGAAAACAAAAGCAAAAATAAATAAACAGTGGGCCTCCCCAGTGGCACAGCGGTTGGGCACTGGGCTGCGAAGCTGTCCACAGCCTCTGCAGCACCAGTTTGATCCCCGGCCGCCAGCGAGGATCAGACCTGACATGGAGCACAGACCTCTCCTGCTGCGCCCACTGCTCCCCTCAGCAGTGTACTTCATCAGTCTGCCTGTCTGCTCCCTGCTCTGGCTCTGGTGAATTCTCTCACCCATTCATGCTTCTGACTGTACCCAGTGCTTGTATAAATAAATAAATAAAATATTTTAAAAAATAAACAAAAATAAATAAATGGTATGATAGCAAACTAAAAAGCTCCTGCACAGTGAAAGAATATGTCATTAAAACTAAAAGGCACCCAGAAAGAAAAAGAAAAATACCGGATGGTCTCACTCATAGCAGGAATCTAGAAAACTTAAATAAGGGACCAGGAAAATGAATAACTGTAAGAAAGTGAAAATCAAAATCAACAAAAAAATATGAACCAGAGACACTCTATGGGGGGGGTGAGGGCGGGGAGGGGAGGGATTGGGGTCAAAATAAGGGGGTTGCAATTGTATGGGGAATATAAAAATAAAATTTATTTTATAAAAAAAAAAAAAAACTAAAAGGCACCCTACTGGGTGGGGTAAAATACACCATACATCTGACAAGGGGCAAATAACCAAGATCGACAAAGAACCCATTCAACTCAACAAAAAGAAAACAAATAACAGAATCAAAAAAAAAAATACAGAAGAGCTAAATAGACACTTCTTTCAAAGAAAATGTTTTTCCTAATGGCTAACGGGAACATGAAAAATTGCTAATCATTACTTATCATCAGGTAAATGCAAATCAAAACCACAATGAGATATCACTTCACACTCCTGAGATTGGCCCATATCAAAAACATCAGAAACAAAAAAATGTTGGTGAGTGTGTAGTGAAAAAGGAACCCTCATGTACTCTTGATGGGAATGCACATTGGTCCAGTCCCTATAGAAAGTAATATTGAGGTTTCTCAAAATATTAAAAATAATCATGCCCATGATCCAGCAATTCTGCTCCTAGGTATATAACCAAAGTATAGAAAAACACTAATTCAAAGGGATATATGCTCTCATGTTTATTATAGCACTATTCACAGTAACCAAGTTATGGAAACAACCTAAGCACCCAACAACAGATGAATGGATAAAGAAAATGTGATTTTATAATTATATATATATATGTATGTATA